AACAATGACATCACTACAATTTCATTTCGTCCTCTCTTATCGCGCCTCATGTCATCCAAACCTACATTTTGTTGCAAATTAAACGAAGAACTAATTTTTGCTCAACTAACAATAAAATATGTCTTCCGAAATCATTCATTATTTTTGACTTATTCAAGAACACTTAAGAAAATTTTTCATTTGATCGGCCTTTATGATGATCATCAGGCATTTCTGTGCTAGGCATGAAGCAATTCATTGACACTGTTGAAGCGGTTCATGACAACGAGCAATCACACTCAACCGGACGTTAACATAGAATCTACTTGCGGGGCAACAAACTGACATGACATGTCTGACATTGTTTTGTTCGTTCATCCGTTCGTTCGTTCGTTCGTTCAGTTCAACTGAAATTAAGATCCATCGTGCATTCGTTTATTTCATTTCATTGGACTGTCGGGTTCTTGGATGTGATTTTGCTATTCGTTGTGGTATTTTTGTAAGAACAAATTGAATTGGCAAAAAGTTAGTGGCTCTTTGCGTTTAACGGACTTGCCATTGTTAGTTTGAAAGATGTGCAAGAAACTCATCCTGGCCGAATGGAGTGAGCTGTTTAACGCGTAGGTAATGTTATTTAATCGTTATATTTACATCAGCAAAGGTAAAATTCAAGTGATGGTCAATATGTTTTGTAGGACTTGGGACTGATTTAGTGAAATAAATTTGTGTGTGTGATGTGTGTGTATTTTTCTTTGTGTATTTGTGTGTGTGGGGGGAAGGTCTTTTTGGTCAAAAGAAGAAGGTCATTGCATGGAAAGTTAACGGTGCATATGTGACCAAAGATAATTAAAACATTTTATTAATTTTTCAGCAATTTATTCAACACAAGTTCTCTGCTGATGAATAATCAAACTTTTTTTTTTAAATTTCAATAACGATGCAATGACGATACAATGAAATTATACAATGAAACAGTCAGCGAAGTTCTCAGAAAAAATTTCTTTATTCAACTTCATAACTGAGTAAATACTTTTTCTAAAAAAGAGGACATTTGATTTTGATTGAGTTAAAACTATAAACTAAAACCACAGTGACAAATAAAATTATGTACAAAAAGAGAAAAAGCAAACAAACATTAACTGAGACCAAGATGAGGATGCGCCTGTTGCATTCAACGTTCCAACTAAAGTGTCAACGTTTTAAGGTGCTTAACAAATACTTACGATAACCATCTTCATCACCATCACATTCATACTCCTAATCATCATAATCTTTATCATCATATTTATCATCACAACCCTGCTTATGTTTACCAGCACCATCACCACAACACCACCACCATCATCGTCGTCGTCGTCGTCATTACGACAACATCTTGATCGTATTAAAAGAAGCACATGTACGTACACGCACACACGCACAGACACACGCACGCATACAGTATGTAATAGACATATAGATTCACATGCCCACATGCAAACGCATACATGTAGAAAAAGCATTTATGAATGATTGATTATCACATGAAGATGCATTCGCATCATCGTTCATGTACTTTACCTACCTACCTACTTTATTGTTCGTTTTTCCAACGAGCGGGAAAATGTGAGCGCGCGCGCACTTTGCCAAATTTATTTATTTTTTTATCTTTCATAATTTAGATTACGTATTTTTGTTAATTATTCAACTGAAAAGCACTTATAAATGTTTTTTTAGCGGCCAGACAGCTCTGATTTGAGTTGTGCACTTTGTTGTTATTAATGATGTCGTTTTCAAGATTTACAAAATCTTCTTCCAATGTTTCTCTTCAAGTTAATCGTTGACATTTTTTGTAGTTGAAAGTTTATTCTATTAAAAAATCAGACCTTTTGAATAATTTAGCCGTACATACATTTGCAGTGACACCTTGATATTTAAATATATAACCGTGAGGCATGTCTTGCATGATGAAGGTCCCTAGGTAGGTCGCACTTTAAATATTGATGCATTCCAGTGGGGCAAGTAGAAGACTGAGATTACAAAGTATTGTTTAATATTAGCAGAATGCAATACATACTTGGAAGTTACTTGATGTCATCACCCTCATTATTTCAAGCTTTTAAAGATGCAAATCCAGATTTGAGAAACCACACAAGAGTTCATAGCAGGATCCATTTTGATGGCTCCAGATCGGTCATTGGACTTTTTTTACTTGCATAATTGCAAAGTTCAATACGTTTTCTGTAATCATCTCTACCATGATTCTTGTCTGGTTTCAGATCCAGTATTTTTTCCATGTCCTTCGACACAACTTCCCTGGTAGCAGGTAGGCTTAGGTGTCTGTGTAACAAAATTGGAAGCTTCACATTTCTTTGCCTAATTACCACCATCCTTCTCATTTAACTGACCAAACAAAAAATATTTTCCAAATATTTTTTTAAAACATCACTTACTGAGTGGTTGTAATTGAACTATAGAACAGCTTGAATGAAGAGATGAATGCAAGCAAAACAAATGCTATCAAAATAAAATATGATTTCTGGCTGAAAAATGCTGACTTCAAATATAAAATTTCAATAAAATAGAGAAATATTATATCAATATATACTACATTATAACAATTCATAATTTTTTTATGATTTTTTTTATTTTTATTCATAATATTCATAAAAACAACACTAAAAAGTTAATAAAATTCTATTTCATATTTCAAATAACCGCCCCAACTGCCACCACCAACTTCACGCCGCAACAGATTCTACTGGGACTTGTTCATGTTGGTGCTGCTGATCGCCAACCTCATCATCCTGCCCGTCATCATCTCTTTCTTCCATGACGACCTCAGCACCAAGTGGATCGTCTTCAACTCCATCTCCGATACTGTATTCCTCACCGACCTGGTTATCAACTTCAGGACGGGTCAGTTGCTGGTGGCTGGTGTTTAATTGTTGGTCGGTTGTTTGTTGGTTAGATGTTGGTTGCTTGGTAGTTGGTTAGATGTTAGATGAACAAAATATTTAGTCATTTTTTGTAAATCTGAAATTGAAATCAATACGAAAATGTGCAAGTCATGTTTTTACATTTCTGAAAGAGCAGATGATTTAACTTTGACAAAGGTAAACGTTTATAATAATGAAACATGGAAAAACAAAAAAAAACCATTAACACAACACACAAACATACACACACTACACAGTACACACACACGCACACACATACACACACACAATCACACGCACATCTATTTGCACGACACACTCCATAGCAATAACTACCGACAGACACGAACATAACTTCTGAGACCTGCTTCTTCATTAAATTTTTAACTGCTCAAACAAAATCGTTATGTTTAAATGAATGTTAGCTTTTTCTGCTCGGTGTAGTCGGTTTTATTATTATAACTGTTGTTTTTGTTTTTCAACTGTTTCAACCATTTTTTTTTATGTTACTGTTGTTAAATTATTCTTCTTCACATTGTCACTATCATTGTTGTTGTTGTCATTGTTTTGTTGTTGTCACCAATTTATATTCGATAAATTATTAACTTGTCATCTGTTAATTATTATTGTTGTTATTGAAATTTTTCTTTAATTTATTGACGTCGCTACGGTTTAATTATTTATTAAAATTTTTGTCATTATTCATGATAACGTAACTGTTATTATTTTTATTGTTGTTGTTGTTGTTTTTGTTGTATTTTATTTTGTCATTGTTACAAGTGTTGTTGAGTTTTTATTAATATTGTTGGCCTCATTATCTAAGACGCGTTGTTTTTCATGTGGCAATTAAATGTTCCATAGCCACTTACAACAGTCATTTAATGAGGTGAACGTTTTGGGAATATTTTTCGTGTTGTTGATATTGTTTTTATTATTAATGTTGTTGTTGTTAGCGTTGTTGTTGTTGTTGTTATGTTGTTGTTGTTGTTGGCAATGTAGATGTTGTATATTGTTGGCGTTGCGTGTTGTTTGTGACGTATTTGTTGGCTGTTGACGTATCTATGACGTATTGTCGTTGTGTTTCACTCGAGTTTTTTTTTACATTTTATTGAATATCTTAAAAATTAGTAATTAACGTTGCATTGTTATCAATGACGTCATCCTTCTCCTCATTATTTTTATTATTATCGTCATCATTAAGAACAACAACAACAACAACAACAACAACAACAACAACAACAACAACAACAACAACGACAACGACAACAACAATGACAACAATAATAACAACAACAACAACCACCACCACCACAACAACAACAACACAACAACAACAGCAGCAACAGCATCTGTATCATCACCTTCATCATCATAGTCATTTTAATAATATTGTCGCCCTGACAATAAAACCATCGACTCCAATGAAGTAACATCATCGTCCGTCCAGCCTTTTGCAGAATTGTTTGTATAGTGGAAGAAAAAAAAGATAAAAAACGACAGTGATGATGGTGATGCATAAATACTGATGTAATATATAATATGATACCATTAAATTAAAATGATACTTTTAATGTATTCATGTTTCGTTACAATAATAATAATGTCATTAAACTTAAAAGCGATTATACCAACAAATAGAACCGCGTAAACATTGAATCAATTGATAGATTAATAAAAAAATATTATATTGAGATTTGAGAGCAAGAACAAAAATAATATTGAAAAAAATATTAATACAAAGTTGCTATTTGGTCGGCCAGTTAGCTCAGTCGGTAGAAGTGCCACCCCCGTGTCCCTTGTTGCTGCTCAATGACCTGGTTCGAATACTGTCTGTCCGAAACTGAAAGGCTGTATTATGTGCTTTAAAAACGTGCATGTATATCGTGTGGTGTGGTGTGGTGTGGCGTGGATGTTGCAATCTTTGTGGCACGAAAGTTTTACAATAACAAAAATGAAACAAAAAACATTTCTGCGCTTGTTCGAGCTTCCAAATGATAAAAAAATCACACAAATTTAATGATGAAACAGGTTTATTATCGGCAACAATAGTAGTGATACTGTGTATTTTTGTTGTCTGCTGACTGGGCAGTTCAGTAAGATTCGTCGTTGTTGATCAATATAATATTGTTGAAGAACAACAGTGGGGGTATAGCATTCCTTCCAAATTTTTTATATATTAAATCATTTATATCGAAAATATTTTCAAATGTGTCATCACTCAAAGTTTTTTTTACTGAATTGAAATTAGGCGTCCACAGCCTCCCCATGAAATTTCTTCATTACAATTCCATTTAACCACATTCCCGGTGGTTATTAATTAATTAGAAACCACCACCAATTCAATTTCAATTAGTGGTTAATCAATTTTTTTGAATTTATTTACCAGAACAAGTGAGTAAACATTAATTTCTACTACAACATAATTATTTGAAATTGATATTTACATTCACTTACCATGGAAACCCAACAACATTCACTGACGAGCGTTAATGTTTACTAAGGCTTGAAATGAGGTTCCAGCATTTTGATTGATCACTTTTGCCTGGGTTAATAAACAGGCGATCAGATTTTGCATCTTGTTATGTAGGAGTTGTTGTGGCGTCAATCATCAGTGTAATCCTGCTACTAACATTCATCATCGTCTTCGTCAGAGTTTTGGCATCAACATTTCTATTGTTGAAAATGAACAAATTTTTTTGCTGCTATTTGTTATCAATAGCATTTAGATAATAATTTTTTTTCAAACAGAGTCGTTAAAATTATAACAGCGAATGTATTTGCTGTTGAAATTGTCATTAAAACTTTTTCTAAAGAGAAATCTTAATTGGCTAAACGCGATGACAATATGTAAAACAGAACGTCAAAATAACGTGTCACATTTGACGCCAACCGTTGAATGATTGTCTTCGCTAAGTTTGAAAAAAAATAATATTATTAGTGGTAGTAGTTGTAGTAACAATCGTGGTAGCATTAGTAGCAGCTGTAGCAGCAGCAGCAGTAGTAGTAGAAGTAGTAGTTGTTTAATAATAATAATAATGGGAACGATTTTTTATTCAGCAATAATAAAAAAAACAAACAATGAAAATTACAGTAAAAGTAAAATAAAAATAATAAAATAAAATAAAGCGTCAAATGCAATGGGTAGAGTATTAATCTGAGAAGAGAAGCTCATCATTCGAATCGAGTGAGTACGACCAGAGTTAATTAGTTTTAAAATTGATTCATTTCACATTTCACATAATAATAATAATAACGATAATAATAATAACAATAATAATAATAACAATAATAATAATAATTACATTATTAAGGAAAAAAACGGTAAAAATGATGGTTGTTTTGAAGATTAAAATGATATTAAGAGATAATAATAATAAGGGAGAACGATGGTAATGGTGAGGAATGGTGGTGGTGTGGTGATTTAAGACCTGTTCGGATGACTGAAATGGTGAAGCAAAATCAATGCTGGAAGTGACAGTGAAAATGAAATCATGGAAATAACGATGGTCATCATGTTAATGATTGTGACAGAAGTAAAACTCTTATAAAACACACGCTCACACACACACACACACACACACACACACACACACACACACACACACACACACACACACACACACAAACACACACAAACACACTAACACACAAGGAAGGAGGGACTACGTCGATGATTACGACGGTTGTGGCCGCAATGATGATGGTGAAAAGATGATGACGATAATGATGACGTCATGACGATGACGACGATGGTAGAGTAATATATTTGCATGGGCCGTATTTTGGATAACAACGTGATGTCAGCTAACACTGTTTGCAATAGTTACGTAAAAAAAATTTCTGGTGTGTCAGTAATAAAATAATAGCAGTAATAAAAAAATGTCAGTTATAATAAATAAATAAGGTAAAATAAATAAGAAAAAAAATCCATTTTTTGTTTGAGTTGTTGTTTTGGCGGATTGTATAAACTCGTTGAGTGCGTAGGACCTCAAACATTGAATGAAGCCTGGCATAATGATGGTATTGAGAAAATGCATGCTGTATATCATGCGTGTGATATACTTTTATAAGTCTATTTATATCATTCAATTATAAATAGATACTAGATAGATAATTTATAGATACTTAAGATATATATAGATACATAAAATATATGTTGTACACACGTGCGCATAAAATTTTTTATGTAGTATATTTGATTGTGAATGTTAAATGAATTGTACGCATGTGGGTTGTATAAATAAATGTGACCACACACACACATACATACACATACACACAAACACACATGACACACACACATACACACACATATACATACAAACACACCGCGGACGCATGCGAAATAATTTCTCCAGGCACGAACAAACCTGCCTTCATTTCATTATTCATGGATCTTGCCTACAATCTTTAATCACGTGCATTCGTGAATCATTGCGATGCAGGTTGGATGAATTATTATGTTCATTGTTCATTATTTGTTCATTGCTTCTTTGTTTATTGTTTGCTCATTGTTGCTCGTTTGTTTGATTTTTTCGTTTGTTCGTTCTTTCGTTGGTTTGTTGGTTTGTTTGTTTGTTTGCATGTATGTGAACCACACTAG